CACAGTGTGGGAGCAACTTTGTGCTGAGTACTTTGGGGGACATCAGAGAGATAAGCCCTGATTCTACCTTCAGGAGCTCGCTATCCTTTGAGTGATGAGGCTTGTGTTCAAAGACAAGATGGGGGCAAGATGATGCTCAATTATGTAATACAGATTGTAGAGTTCAGAGAAAGGAGAGATCAGCAAAAACTAGAAAAGAGTGAGATAGGAGGAGAGGAACGATACTGACACTTTACACCTAATGAGTACTTGCTGCACGCCAGACACTGGACCAAATTCTTTCCATGCCCTGCCTCCCCGCAAGGCCATCCAGAGAGGTACCAGGGTGGTCGCCATTTAACAGATGGAAAAAAAAAAATGGAGGCACAAAGCGCTCAAGTGACTTGTGCGCGGTCACATGGCTGGTAAATACTAGAACCAGGATTTGGGTGCAGCTCTTCCTGTGACCAGAGCCTGCATGTTAATCACCAGGGCCCATGGCCGGCCACTTGAAGGGAAGTGGGCAGCAAAAGTGGACAGATGTGTGAAGAGGACAGCTGCCAGGGGGTGGGAGCTGCGGAGGGGACCCCAGCCGTGTTATGAACTATAAATGGGAGCAAAGATAGGATGTGCGATTTGGCCAAGGTCCTGCAGCAAGAGAGGGTGGAGGCTGGGCTGGAAATTCTGGCTGTTGGCTCTCCTTCCACTCTCCCTGGTACCAGCCGCTTTCTGGGCTCTCTCCACCCGTCTGCGCGGCCACGCCTGAAGCGTTTCCCTCTTGGAAGAGGTGCAATCCACTGGCATTGAAGCCGGGTGGACTGGCTCCCTCTCTCTATCCATCTCTTTCCTCCTTTCCCCTGCCATGTTCTGGAAAGGGCAGCGTGGGGGAATGTGGGCAGGTTGCACCAGAGATATACATCTGAGAACTGAAGGAACATTTATTTTTAATTTCGACTTAAAAAGAAAAAAGGAAGTTATAAAATATCTGCTCTTGCTCCTGGGACTGTGCAGATGGTGCTGCGTGTTGCCTAATAGGGAATGGGGCTGGCATCCATGTGCTCCTGGCCCCAGCAGCCTGACTGTAGGACCTGCAAAGTGGGATCCCTGTTCCCCTTGCCTTAGCCTCAGATGGTTCCCTTGGGCCCCGTTTGGGGGCAGAATGCAGCACGGCTTTCCACTGCCTCTAACCTCACCCTCCCCAGGTTTGCTGATTCTTCAAACCTCCTTTAATGAGACCAGTCTCCCGACTGTTCCTGCTCCCGTGAGCGTGCACTCTTGCCCCCCTCCACGCACATGGCGTTCACACGCATGCACATCTCAGCTCCATCCCACCACCTCCTTCGGCAGCCAGAGCACACTGATCTCTCCTTCCTGAGCGCTGGTTTGGGTGTTCGCATTTATCAACTTGACATACCCAAGTACCTGATGAAACCGTCTGGTCATTTCCATGTCCAGGTATTATAATGGATCTTCTCATACATTTTCCTGTTTGGTCTTTGTGTTTATTGTGGTTAGATGCCATATATTCCTCTCTTCCCGTATTCTCCATTGAGCGTGCCATGGAACCTGGTGCATAGAAGATGCTTGGAAATGGGCATGGAGTGATGGAGTGTGACTCTTCCTTTGTGCTCAGGTGAATGAGCTGGAAAAGGAGCCCCTCAAATCAGAGAGTTGGAGCCCTCAAGCCAGCAATCAGGAGACCTTTCTGACTTTCTCTAGCTTGCTGGGAAGCCTCGGGCAAATCACGGAATTTCTCTAAGCCTCAGTTTCCCCATTTGTAAAATATAGAAAGTGATCTTTATTTTGTCTGAGCCCCAGAGTTCTGATAAGGATCATGGTTAAGTGACATAGGGGAAATGCTTAGCAAAATCAATCAATCAATCAATCTCTTTAAGAACACATAAGGAGTCAGAGGCGCTCAGCATGGTTAGAGCAGGAGGCTGGGACAGGAAGCTGGCCAGGTTTGGTCAACAAGGAGAAAAGCTCACAGGTTACAAGGTGTGTGTGTGTGTGTGTGTGTGTGTGTGTGTGTGTTACACAGCCTGGGTACTATTTCAGTTTAGGGCTGTGGTTTGTTCTGGAAGAGACTTGATGTCACATTAAAAAAAATGCCTGCCACCAGAAAATACAAGTGAAGACAAAAATGAGAGAGAAGTTTAGGAAAGGGAAGAAGCTAGGAGCGAAGTTTGGACACAAAATGCATTCAGTGAGGGTCTGTGCACTGGACAGATGTGATCCTTAGAGATCTGGCCTGAGCTCCTTGATAGTCAGTGCAAAGAGAGACACGGTTAAATGCTCAATGTCTGCAAGACAGATGCAAACCAGATGCTCAGAAGTATAAATTTCTGAGCCCAAGACTAGAAAAATTTCCTCCAGGAGGATTCATAAATGGGACTCTGCGATGGAAGGAGCAATGAGTGTCCTGGACAATGGTTGTCTGGTAAATACAGCGAGTCCCAAGGGGCTGTATCTTAGGACACTCCTGATGGCCCAAGCTCAGTGCAGGGGGTGTAAGGGGGATTGAGGAGGAGAGGACAATGTGGTCCATAATATACCCATGCTCTATAAACCAACAGATTAGGGGAATGAATTGCTGAGTTCCCAACAGTGAAGAACAGCTTTTATCTCTTCAGGCTTTGGGAGGCGGTCAGACATGCACAAGCATACACAGACGTCCACACGTGCATGCACGCGCGCACACACACTCGCTGGAGCGCATTGTCCGCTCCCAATTTCAGGCCTCTGTAGGCTCAGCTTCCTCTCTGTGGTCTGGCTCCTGGTGGCTGGAGCCTGACTAGGATGAGGCCCTGGGTTCCCAGTGATATTTCTCTTCCGGGCTGGGTGAGGAGGGATTCCCTTTACAGGCAATGGGGCAATCTCAATTGACTTCATACCTGCTACTTGGAACCCAAGAATAGAATTTTAAACCAAGGTAGGACCTCCAAGCTCAACCCCTTCACTCTATAGGTAAGAAAGCTAGAGCCTCAAGGGGACTGTATTCTGTTGGAGACACTGTTGGCTGGAGATCACACAGGGATGGGGCTGAGGCTGAGCTCCAAGCTCTCCTGATTCTCACTCCAGTGCCCTAAGCTGTTGCTGCAGAGAAAAATCAGACTGGGATCTCATTTTGAGGAGAAAAATCTCATAAGATAATTCCTCATTGGAGCTATGGAATGGCTTTGCATTACATAATTTTATTCAAACTGATACGGGCCAATAAATATAAATGTGTGTGTGTGTTTGCTGTCTTAAAACATTTTAATGTTTAAAACATGATTTACAAATGCTGCTGAGGATGTCTAGAATTTGATTTACTGCATAGTATTGAATGTTTATACTTACTCCTTACAGAAATTCTTGCCAAAGAGCCATTTTATCTACAGGAATAATAAATAAGTCAATATGTGGATGGTTGTGCACATTTTTCCCATATGCAGTGGTATTTGGTAGACATTATTTAGCACACAAGCATTCAAAAGAGACACATGGATCCCCGAAGTCCAAAGTTTGCCCAGTTGTCAAGATGAGACAATTAATCTTGACTTAAACCAAAAAAGCAAAGTCAGCAAGTCTAGCTCTTAGGTGACATTCGGGCTTTGGGAATAATGACTCCACACCTAGCTAACGGTACTCAAAATGATTTTTATCTGGGATGCCTGGGTGTCTCAGCTGGTTAAGCGTCGGCTTTCCACCCAGGTCATGATCCCAGAGCCCTGGGATCGAGTCCCACATCGGGCTCCTTGCTCAGTGGGGAGCCTGCTTCTCCCTCTGCCTCTGCCGCTCCCCACTGCTTGTGCTCGCTTTCTCACTCTCTCTGTCTCTCTGACAAATAAATAAAATCTTTTTAAAAAATAACTTTTATCATCGTATTTTATTTTACTTTTTATAAAGGTTTTATTTATTTATTTGAGAGAGAGAGCATGAGCTGGGGGAGGGGCAGAAGGAGAAACAGACTTCCCACTGATCAGGGAGCCCGCAGCAGGAGCTCCATCCCAGGACCCCAAGGTCGTGACCTGAGCCGAAGGCAGCCGCTTCACTGACTGAGCCACCCAGGCATCCCTATCATCATATATATATATATTCTTAAAGATTTTATTTATTTGACAGAGAGAGAGATAGCAAGAGCAGGAACACAAGCAAGGGGAGTGGGAGAGGGAGAAGCAGGCTTCCCGCGGAGTAGGGAGCCCGATGCGGGGCTCGATCCCAGGACCCTGGGATCATGACCTGAGCCGAAGGCAGATGCTTAACGACTGAGCTGCCCAGGCACCCCCCATCATCATATTTTATTTTTTTATTTTTAAAAAAAATTTTAAATATTTTTATTTATTTATTTGACAGAGACACAACGAGAGAGGGGAACACAAGCAGGGGGAGCGGGAGAGGGAGAAGCAGGCTTCCCGCAGAGCAGAGAGCCCGATGCGGGGCTTGATCCCAGGACCCTGGGATCATGACCTGAGCTGAAGGCAGATGCTTAATGACTGAGCCATCCAGACGCCCCCTATCATCATATTTTAATCCTCACAAAAATCCTATGGGGTGGCCAGGATATGAAAGAGCCAGGTTAGCTGAGGGGAAGTAAAGATGTTCCTTTGGTTTGCTTCTTTATTTGTATTGTCCCCCGCCCCCAGTTATGGAAATAATACATGTCCAATGTTTAAAAAAATATAGGCATATTCGAGAAGACTGAGAAAGTACTGTGTCACCCGACCTCCAGAGACATCTACACGCTGGGCTATAGGTTTTTGCATGGAGATATGTACATGCCTATGTTTGTGTATATGGTTATACATACGATGTGATTTCTTTACAAAAGTGGGATTGTGCTGTGATAGAATTCCGCAGCCTGGTTCACGTGCAGCCGGCACCATCCCACTGTGGCCAGCAGTTTATATGTATACATCATCCACCTCAGTTTGTACAGATCTAGTTTACTTTGGTTCGTGGCTGTGTCATTTTTCTTGGCAAACGTGTAGGATGTTTCTTTTGCTTTATCCAGGCTTTCCTCTCTTTCTCTCTCGCAGGTAGTTGGTCTTCTCTTGCCCAACCAGACACTGGCATCCACTGTCTTCTGGCAGGTAACAGTCCCTGGCAACGGAGGGCTCCCGAAGGAAGGACCCAACAAGTGCTCGTTAGAACTCCCTGTCCCAGTGTCTCCCCTCCAGGCCCCTCAGGGAAAGTCACCCCACTTCCCGCCTCTCGCTGGCCCTGTAGCCGCTGGGGGAAGCCCGGGACTTCGGATTCTGCTGAGCAGGTCCCAGCAGCCCACACCTAGGCCATTTTATGTGACTCTCATTTTTGCACAAGGGGATGAGGGCTTGTTTGTGGCTCCCTCCTGCTCCTTGGCTGTTTGTCCCAAGGCCTGTGACCTCGAGGCTCTCAGTCTTGTTTCGATATAAGCCTCACTCAGATCTGCGGGGAAGGTAAATCCATCACCAACCCCCAAGGTAGTGAGTGTTTGGTGCAAGACACTGGGCTGGGATATTTTTGAAAGAAGTTCAGGGCTGTTAGTAATTCCAGGGGCTAAATGTCCACTTTCTATCCAATAAGTAATATAACAAGGATGATGTCAAAGGCAGTGAGGCCCGTTTGGGGCCGTGAGCGCCATGATTCCGGGAAAGGGGACGGTCCCCAGGTTGGGAAGAACTGCCCGCAGGGGCAGGACCCCTATCTTGGTTTGCCAGCAACGGAGGGGTTTCCCGGGGTTTCCATGCTGCCACTGGCACAATGCCGGGCAAATGGCAACAGCTGGTCCTGCTGACCTGTGGGATGGACAGAACCACCTGTGAGCTGGAGACAGCATCCCGTGTCTTTCTGGAGGCTGTGGCCACCTGTGGTCCAGGCCCGGCGTCCACCCCTTCCCTGACGTCTCTTCCCTCCCACCTCCCCACCCCCGTTGCCTTTCAGTGGCTGAACCAGAGCCATAACGCTTGTGTCAACTATGCAAACCGCAACGCTACCAAGGTGAGCGCCGCAGACCACCGTACAGTGGCAGGGAGCGGGCCGGGGGGACCCTCATCCTCCCTACAGTGTGGCGTGCCACCATCGGGGGCTGCTTCCTCTGAGTTAAGCCTTGTGCTCCTCTAAGCACCTGATTTAAACTGCCAACCCTTCTAGAAGGGCCCCGCCAGGGAGGGGCTGTTCACATGAAGTGAAGAAGGCCCATAAAATGGAAATAGAATGGAGGCGGTGAGAGGGAGGAGCTCTGTTGGCTTCAGCATCCTCCTTGGGCAGCTCTTATCCCCAGATCTTGGATTAGGATGGCATCAGCCACATGGGGACCAAATTCCCCTAAAGCTTCCTCCAAGCTTGCCTGGAAGCTGTCTTGGTGCCCCCAGACGGTCGGCTGTAGAGCTGAGGGCTGCTCTTGAGGGGTGAGGGGTCTGAGGGGACCGGCCCCTCCTCCCCCCAAGTCCCCTGTGCTCCTGGGGCAAGCTCTCGGTGGAGGCCCTGTCGCCCTTCCCTCTTCCAGGAAGGAGCTGGGCCCCTGCTTCACTGGCAAGGCTGTCTGTCCTGCACTTCTGTCTCAAGGCAGGGAGAGGGGAGAAGGAGTCCAGGTCCCCTTGTGGGGCTGTCGTTTGGGGAGGGGAAGGTGTGGGCATTCTCTAACCCTGGAGCAGAGAGGGGAGAGCTAGGGGCTGGCCTGGGTGGTAGAAACTTCCCGGCCTGAAACTCTGAGGACGCCCCCCTTCCATCCGCATCTCACGCATGTGACCCACATGTGTATACCCCTGCTTGGATGGCTCCCGTTTGCCTTAAACCAAACATCTCCAAAACTGCCGTCAGAGCACAGTTAAAGGCAAGTTCCTCAGCTCCTTCTCAATGTGATCCGTTGCAACCTGGGTTGCATGTCTGTAGAAACGTTGAGCAACTGTCATCTGTTGGCCTGGCAGCCCGGTTGCCGCCTGGGTTGACAAGGCGCGGGAGAGCCAGCCAGGTGTAGCCAGCCATTTCCACCTGCGCGGTCCTCCAGGTACCAGCAGCCCACGTCCAGCATTCGGTCCTCCTCCCCTGGTTCTGCTTGCCCCAGCCATGAATGACCCATTTTGGCCCTTGCCGTTGTCTACCTCCAGCCAGCAGGGTCTGCCAGTGAGCTCTTGAGGACAGGGCGAAAGTGCAGCGGGCCCGTTGGCTTCTCCCGGGACATTGCTGCCCTGTATTTCCATGTCTGGAGCTGTGCTGAGGGAGGCCCGGATCCCTTCGGCTTCCAGAGGGACCTTTGCCTTCTCACCTGGTGGTGGGCGGGAACGTCTCTTGCAGGCTGGGGCTGTTGGCAAGGGCGGGGTATGGCAGCTTTGGGCACCCAGTGGGCCTGGAACTCTCTTTCTCTGCCTTCCAGCCTTCTCCTGCGTCCAAGTTCATCCAGGGCTACCTAGGAGCTGTCATCAGTGCCGTCTCCATCGCCGTGAGTAACTCTGTCCCCACTTTTTTGTCCTGCTGCCCTGCGGCTGCCCCCTCTCCTCAGCAGCTCCGGCCAGACCTGTCTGAGGTCAGGGCCAGGCGAGGGTGTGGGAGACAGAGGGTCATGTGGGTGGGCTGCCAGGGCAGGCTTTCTAGGCAGAGAAGATTCTGGTGACACTTTAATAGGCATGAACTTGAATAGAGAGAGTGCTGCAGATTTTGGAGAGCAGGTGGGGAGGAGAGGTGGTGCCCATGGGTGACGCAAAGGGCTGCATACTTCCGCTGAGGGCAGGGGGTCTGTTGCTAGAGGGGTCCATGTTTACCCAGCACCCTCCCCAGAGGAGCTGCTCGTCACTCTTGGTAATATGGCTGATGCAGGAAGTGAGGGGCTCAGGAACAGTTGTAAAGCTGGGCCACATGCTGGCTCCCCTTTGCTCTCTGCCTGAGCTCCCAGGACACTGTTGTCCCCTCTCGGAGGCCTTGGTCAAGTGGGCACATGTCCACTTCCTCCCAGAGGCCTATAAGCTCCTCAAGATGGGGGCGATAGGTTCATTTGAATCCCACAGGACTTTGAGAATAGAGCAGCTATGAAGTAGGCTTGGTTTGTAAACTGACTATGTGAGCATAAGGCTGGATCCCAGATGAGGGCTGAGTGCAGGTGATGCAACGAGGGCCCTGGGCCAGAACCAGAGTGGAAGCTACACTCATCCCACTCTTGAGCCCACCTTGCCCCTCCATCTGTACTGTCTAGATCCTGGCTGGGTGGTCTCCTATAGCTGACTCCAGAGGGTAAAAGTCACTTCACAACTTTGTTATTTTATTCATCACACAATAAATACACACAGTTGGGAAGAAAACACTTAGAAAATGCAAATTTAAAAATTCACATATAATGAAAGAATTCACATATAATAATCTTTTTGTAAATCCCACTTTCCTCATCTTTCTCATGTCATTAAGTATAATAATTGTTCACAACTATGTTCTAAACCTCTGTACCATACACCATCATTGATTTCACTGTTCTGGGAAAGCAGGGATTTGGGATTGTTTTGAGATGGCTTCATTTACTCTGCTCCCATGTAGACCACATCCTCTCCAAATGCCCTGCTGGGGAGTGATCCCCGTTCGTGCCCAAGATCAAGCTCCCTCCCCAAATCCTTGTCTTACCCCAAGCAAGAAGCCAGACATTGCCAAATCTATTCAGATGACTTGCCAAGAGACCGCAAACCCCACCCTGGTGGTCCTCAACCCAGCAGAGACTTCATTTGGGGTCATACAAATTGGCAGTCCTTGATTCTGGGGGGCTACTGGCAGAGGTCAGGGCTCTTGTGAGAGAGGGAAAGGGGCTCTGTTGCCTCCTCCTTGCTCTTCATGACAAGAGGAGCTGATGGCCCTACCTAGTTCAGCAGCTTGAAAATCCCATTTTCCTTCTTGGAGATGAAGGGTGAGGTGGGGCAGAGCTGAGGGGAGGAAGCCCCGTCAGGAATAATACTGAGCAGCCCCGACTGGGAGGGGCTTGAGTGAAGGGGACCACTGTCCTGGTGGGACGTCCTCCTCCTGCAGGCATGGCGCTCCAGGCTCTCTGCGTCCCCAGTCCTCACTGTCCCACGCAAGGGGCCCTTGGTCATTCCATCCCTACCACTTCCTAGGATCAGAGCTAGCCCAGATTGTGGGGTGGGGGCTCTGATGCACAAGCCGCAGTTACTGGGGACCCTCCAGGCCCTCAGAGCCAGGGTCTTACCCTCAAGGACTGGGGGCCTCACGCTGGGCTGTCACAGCCCTCAGGGACTGTGCCTGTGCTGGGGACACTCTCCTTCCAACTCCCTGCCTAGCTGCAGGGCGCTTAGAGGCTTTTCCTGACCACACCAGCCCAAACTGTCCCCCACCCCCAAGTCCTAGAAACTTCTGTCCTTCCCACACACTCAGTTACACCCTGTGTCCTGTCCTGTCATTGTTCCACTGGATTACAAGTTAACCAGGGACAGGCCCTGTGTCTTCTCCCCCACAGAGGGGGCGCAAGCACTGCTCCATAAATACTTGTTAATTAGGTTGCTGATTGATTGCCGACCTCAGGAGGCCCCTCTCCGCCTCGATCCTCGATCCTCGGGCTCAGCGGTGGCGGCGTCCCTCTGCCTGACGTCTTCACACAGTGAGGGTCTAACTCCGGCAGATGGAACAGAGTTTCTGACTTGGAAAATCTGCAGCTTGCTTGCTTTTCTTTTGTGTGTGTAAATCACAAAACCTCCAAAGAAAGAGGCTTTATTTTATTTTCCTTTCCCTTGTTCTCTGGAACCCCGGGCCCGCGGCCTCATTAACTGATCTCTGCTTCAATTAGTGACAAATCCCCTCCCAGGGAGAACCTGTTAGGAAGAGATGACCTGCAAACAAGTGTCACGGCCCCAGTGGTTGGCCCAGCTCTGGCATTAATTAAAACGAGTCCCTACAAGCAGGTGGCCTGGATGGGGCGGGGGGCTGACAGGCTGAGGGCAAATGTCAGTGACTGGGGACAAGCTGGAGTGGAGGCCAGGCCCTGAGAGGCCAGCCTTCTCCCTGGACCTTTCCTCTCCCTCAGAAGAGCCAGAGCCCTGACCTTGGCCAGCCACCCCCAGAATCAAGGACCCCCAGTTTGCCTGGCCCCCTGAATGAAGTCTCACGGTGGCCCGGGACCCCCAGTGCAGGGGTAGCAGCCTTTTGGTGAACTCTCTAAATAGATTTGGCAATGTCTGGCTTCTTGCTCAAGAATAAAAAAGAAATTTTGTCTTAAGTTATTTTTGAAATCTAACAGTTTGCTGTCTTTTAACAAAGGAAGCCTCTGTCAGTCCTCAGTGTATTTGAGTTTGGGGGTTCATGTTGAGCACTTCTGTGGTCAGCCTCCCCAGGCCCTGGCTACCCAAGCGTGAGACCCACGCCCTCCCTTCAGGGGTGTGTTTGTGCCAGGCATTTGGCAGGTGCTGGGGGGGGCGGTCACACAGATTGGTGTGTCCTTCAAGATGCAGAGAGGAAAAGCTGAGGATTCTCTGTGGTAGAACCAGAATCATGATGAAGGTGACCCTTGGGTGTGGTGGGAACTAGGGAAGGGGCCCCTCAGTCACACAGGGCCAGCTCTTCCAGGATAGAGCAGAGAGAGCTGAAGGCAGGGTTGTGGGATCCAGGTAGAGGGCACAGCACATGGAGAGGCACGCAAGAGAATGTGACAGACTCCAGAGTGGTGGGGAGATGAGTGCGGCCACCGTGGGACGAGTGATGAGGATGAAGTGATAGGGAACTGGGGAGGAGCAGGGCCGCTCGTGAAGCACTCACAGGGCCTACCCAGGAGTTAGTGGGCCATGCCAGCCGCCTTGTCTCGACTCAGGGAGCGGGGGCGTAACAGGGGGTGCAGGCAGAGTGGGCTGGAGGAGAAGTCGTGGTGGGGTGGCAGGCCTAGCAGATGACCTCCCTCATGGACACCAGGTCCTGGATGAGAATGGACCTGTGGCTGTAGAGAAGGGCGCAGGGCTAAAGTCCTACATGCTGCTCAGGAGCTGGTTGGTGGATCCAGAGTATGAGAGACACTTTATGCCTGGTCTTCAAACCCCTCACGTGCAGCCAGGTCATAGGTGGCTGAGGTCTTTCCCCATTGGGGCATTGCTGATCTCCATTCCCAAAGGCTCTGGGCCCTGAGGGGTCCTTTCTGTACAGGATACAGTGATTGTCTGTTAACCTTTACTAGATACTGGAGTACAAGGAGGTGTCCCAGGGGGGTCCCTGGGCTGAACCCCTCCCCCTCCCAGTTCTCATTGCCCCCAGACTGCTCCAAGTCCCAGTATTAAAGTAGCAAATAATCCCAATGATCACAATGGCTGACACTTCTGGAGTGTCTTTAGGTGCCGGGTGCTGCTCAGTGCTCCTCGTGATTTTACAGCTGAGGAAGCGGAAGCGTAGAGGTGAAATCCCAGAACTGGGATTCAAACACAGGCTTGATCACATGCTATTCTAATACAAAGACCCCTTTTGCTTCCTGCTCCCACTGCGGCCTGAGGAGGAGGGAAAAGCCAAACAGTGTACTTGGCTTCCAGTTTAGAGGAACTGTTACCATGCCTCCTGGCAGTTAAGTCCGCCCCCGGGTACCCTGAGAACAGCGGGGAAAGGAAACTTTTGAGAGGCTCTTTAGGTGTAATGGGGTTAGAGCCTCTATCCAACTTCATACTTGGTTTCTGCACCTGTGTTTTCTGGCCAAGGTTGAGTCAGCAGCGTATATTTATCCCTGGTCTGGAGCATGCCCCGCCTCCTGCAAGACCATGTCTGGCTGGTTCTGTGGTCAAGGGTGGTTCTGTGGTACCTCAGGGTGTTCTCTGTGATCCACGGTGTACCTCAGAGTATTCCCTATGATCTAAGGTGTACCTCAGGGTGTTCTCTGTGGTTGAGGGTGTACCTCAGGGTGTTCTCTGTGATCCAGGGTGTACCTCAGGGTGTTTTCTGTGTTCAAGGGTATACCTCAAGGTGTTCTTTGTGATCAAGGGTGTTCCTCAGAGTGTTCTCTGTGGTCAAGGGTATACCTCAGAGTGTTCTCTGTGGTTGAAGGTGTACCTTGAGTGTTCTCTGTGATCTAAGGTGTACCTCAGGGTGTTCTCTGTTATCCAAGGTGTACCTCAGGGCGTTCTCTGTGGTTGAGGGTGTACCTCAGGGTGTTCTCTGTGATCCAGGGTGTACCTCAGGGTGTTTTCTGTGGTCAAGGGTATACCTCAGGGTGTTCTCTGTGGTTGAGAGTGTACCTCAGAGTATACCCTGTGACCCAAGGCATACCTCAGAGTGTTCTCTGTGGTTGAAGGTGTACCTTGAGTGTTCTCTGTGATCTAGGGTGTACCTCATGGTGTTCTCTATTATCCAAGGTGTATCTCAAGAGTGTTCTCCGTGGTTGAGGGTGTACCTTGAGTGTTTCCTGTGATCCAAGGTGTACTTCAGAGTGTTCTCTGTGATCCAGGGTGTACTTCGGCCCTGCTGTCCTTCTCTGGGCCTAATGGA